TATCTTATCTTATCTTATCTTATCTCTTAATGAATCTTTATTTTTATTCTTGAACATATTTCCAGTCTTACCTAGCCCGTTACTGAGCCTGACATCTCAACAGCCGTGTAGGTTTCATTTAAAAGAAAGAACTGAATTATGTAGTGCACCTGTAAAGTACCTCCCAGGTTTTCTGGTAGTGAAACTGGCCTTTACAGCTCCGTCTCTTATATTATATTATCCTGTGGTTACATGCCATTTGACTTTCTGAAGCTTCTGTTCTCTGTCCGTGACTCAACATCTTGACTGGTACATTGACTCAAATTTTAAAATGACACCACAAAATTCATTCTGTGTTTGCTGGGGATTAAACGGTCCTTGAGCGGCCTTTGAGGAGTCTCTCATGATGCAGAGAGCTTTCTTCTTGCATTGATCCTTGAAACTGGTTTCCAAGTAGGGGAGTGAGATCCTGATGACCCCTTCAACCATCCTCACACACGGCAAAATCTTCGTGTCAGTCACCATGCAACTTATCAGAATGCTCTCAATAGTACTTCAGTAAAAGATGGTGAGGATTGTGTATATATATGTGTGTGTGGCTGCGCGTGTGTGTGTGGCTTCAGCATCTTAAGTACGTGCATCCTCTACCTAAGTCTCCTTGGCCAGGCGTGTGGTGTTGAGTTCCACAAGAGAGCGTCTCTGATGTAGACAACCAGGAATTTTGTGCTGCTGACCCTTTCCACGGTCAAGCTCTTGATTTGAAGTGGAGCATGCTCAGCTTTTGTTGTGTCCACAATCAGGTCTTGGGTTTTGTTGACACTAAGAGACAGATTGTTGTCTCCACACCACACCAGCTCCACCACTGCTCTGCCAGATGTTTCATCCTGTCTGATGATGGGTTTTATACTGCTGCATCAAACTAGACGAGCTGATTTGTGCTAAGAATTTGGCAGTGCAGTCGTGTGTCACCAAAGAGAGCCTTGAGGCGACTGTTGGTGTGATTTGGTATTTGATATATACCAAATATGTTTTTTTTTAAAAACTGAATTGAACCTAATTTAACTGAACATGAAAAATGATCCCCTACCCCACCCTCTGCTACAGTTTCAACTGAGCCTGGTCATGCTAAA